TCTCTCTCTCCCACCCTTTCTGCCCTTCCTCCCTCCCACCCTTCTGGGCTTTGTGGTCTGCAACACAGATACTAAGAGGTTATCATGTTTGTTCCTCGATTACTTTCAGCATGCCTTTCCTATCTGGAGTGATCATTTATTTGGCATAATGGTTCCTTCTCTATCCCAAATGCCTTCTCCCCCAGTACTTGAAGCAGGCTTCCAACCACGGACTAAACCTCATTTCACTCATGTCTATCCATGTCTATCCATTTATAAATGAATTTCATAATTTCGGAAACTTTTTCTTAGTCAGGGTATATACATATCCTCCTTCAGATTGTGGAAATTTCCAGAAATGATTTCTTCCACCAACAGTTTGCCCCCTTTCTCTTTCCTCTCTGTTGGAAGGCCAATGATGCGAATGTTGTTCCTTTTAATGCTGTCCCACAAATCTCATGTTTATTTTCATGGTTTAGTTTACATTTTCTTTGCCCTCTTCTTATTCTACTTTGTCCCGGAGGTCACTGATTTGAATTTCAGGTTATTCCTGAATGGAATTCCTCTATTGTGTATTTTAGTTCAACTCTAAACTTTTTAAGCTCATTTATTTCTGTTTGGAATTATTCCTCTTTTTCAGAATTTCTATTGATGTTCTCTCATATTAATTTCTTCATTTCATTAAGCATTAGTAAGATTGTTCTTGTGAAGTCTTTTTTGGAGAGTTCAGAAAGATCTTTGTGTTATTTTTTTGTTATTGTTGCTTGAAGATCTTCCTAGGTTTTTGTCCCCATTGATTGATGTAGCTGAATTCCCCCTGTGCAGGCACAAAATAAATAAGTGAATCGATGGTGGCAGTGGTGCTCTCTCTCACCCGCTGCATGCCTCGGTGGCCATGAGGTCCTTCCCCCACCCCTACCTGCAGCCACCACCAACAGATGCATAAAGGAAGGAACAGGGCCACCAGGCTGGTTGGTGATCAGTTGCCGTTTATTCTATTCTCCCCACGCACCTGTTCTAGTCACACTAAGTGCCCCATTCCAGTCTCACACTGCCCCTTATTCCTATCTCCTCCTGTCCCCCATGCTAGTCTCTCCATGCTCAGTCTCTCAGCCTCAGTCTCGCCCCCAACTTCCAAGCGTTGGGGGTAGCAACTACACCCAGGTCAGGTAGCACAGTCAATATGTGAAAGCCTTCTGAGTGAAGCTCTTCTAAGATAAGACAAAGATCTCCTGCAACCAGGAGTTAGCTCAAGGGTGAAATACCTACCACCTAGGGGTGTGTATCTCCTTTCCTTAGTCCAATAACCATCTTAGATTTATTTCTAAATAATTTTTCGACTCATTTTGTATGGACACAGTTAAGAGATTATATATATATATATATATATATATATATATATGTATATATTAAGCTTGTAGGGTGGCTCTCACTGGGAACATTTCGCTATAGATCCCAGACTACAGTGCTCAGGCCAGATTAGTCTTTCCTAACCTTAGCAGGGTCCTAGTCCAGTTGATATTCTTTGGATCATTACAGAATTTGTCCATGACCATGCTCTTATAATTAAGTATTATGGTGCTTGGCCTGGCCTGTTCGATGCCAGAGTAGCTCAAGCTTGCCCTGGGTCCATCCAGTCCCTCATTGGACCCCTGCTTTGGGGGAGCTAGGAACTAAAAGCAACTGAGGCTTAAGTCGAGAAAAAAAGATGATGCCAGAGTAGCTCACAACTTGTCCTGGGTCCATCCAATCCCTTGTCAGGTCCCTGCTTTTGGGGTGAAGGAACTAAGGGCAACTGAGGCTTAAATTGAGAAAACAGATGCCCAGGAGTGAACATTATTCCGAGTCAGTTAACTCCCAAGTTACAAAAGCATAGCATTAACTGTCTTCCTGTCCTATATAAAAGGACATTGCTCTGAAGTAAACTATGCAAAAGGACATAAAGAAAGGAGAAAAGCAATATTTTACTTAAGAATACAAGTCCGGAGTCCTTTGAAGGATCTGACCTTACAAGTCAACAGAGTCTAATTTGGGGATAAAGCTAATTGAACAGTTGGGGAAGCAGAGCACAGAGAAGAGGTTACAGATAAACAGAGAAATGGGAGTGCCTTGGGAGCACAGTGATGGGTGTAACCCAATAAACTGAAACTTCCTGAGGTCAGGGAGAAATGACAAACCAATGTTATCCTACATCCCTACCCCCCTCTGTATTGTTTTATGGACACACTTGGTGGTGCTTAGCTGTCACTCCTGAATTGATCGAACCTGAATTGATTGTCTCCAGCACCTGAATTTCTTGTTATTTTTTAAAGAAAATAAAATTGTTAATTGTACTTGGCAGCCAAAGAGGGCTCTGGATGGAGATCAGAATGCAAGCTGGCCCGAGTTATTCACATTCACAAATCAAGATAGTGTATCTAAGATTGTGTGTACCTGGATGTACACTCAGGATTTGTGGTCACATGTGAACTACAGAAGGCTGCAATGCTCCTGGAAATTTTGCAGTCACATGTTTAGTTTGTCAAATATTTCCCTAGGTTCGGGCAGGCTGTGCAACATGCCAGGGTTCACAATTGCTGACACCTGACAGGGATTCTGGCATCTATGCCGAACAGGCCTGGGTAACAGCTGGGCTTGATGGTAGATGGGTAGCCAACAGCATCTGTAGCACCACGCAGATCTGGTATCATTGTGGATTTGCTTTTCCTGGTGGCTGCCAGTCTGTGTTGCCCAGGTCAAGCCAACCTGGGAAGCACCTTGTAGTCCCACCCTAAATTTGACCAATCCTGTGCTTCAGCCAGTTGCTCTGTTGTTCAGACAAGGACTAAACTTGGGCACAGCAGTCAAAGGTAAGTCTGTTGCTAGCTTTTCTTAATCTCTGTAGAAAATTTCCTTTCTGAATCTAGGCTTTCGTTCCACAGATTTCAGTCAGTCAGATGCAAGTAAGGCGGACTTATTTTGTTTGGTTAGGTGAAGGTAGATGTCACTCAACCCACTGCAGCTTGGATCAGTAGAGTTTGCCTTTGGGTTGGTGCCTGTTCTGAAAGGGTTCAGAGCACCTTGCTGACTTGTCAGGGGACTGATGAAGCTAGAAATATCTTTCCCGGTTTAGGTCTTACCCCTAGTCAGGTTTTGTAAGCCTAGAGTTTTAAGTATGGGGTGCCAATTTTCAGTTCACCCCTGTTTTTTGTTTGGGGGCCACACCCAGCACTGCTCAGGATTTACTTCTGGCTCTGCACACAGTAATCACTCCTGGCAGTGCGTGGAGCAGGGGAGGGGGGGTGGGGGAGCATTTGGGGTGCTGGGGATCGAAACTGGGTCAGCCCTATGCAAGGCAAGCACCCTACCCAATGTACTATCTCTCCAGCCCTATCATTTCTATTTTTCCTCAGAGCCAAGTACGTACCTCCTTGCTTCTCTTATATTCTATCTGGGATCACTCTCCTTAGCTTTCAAACTGGGCTTTTCTACATGCTCCACAGCAGGGAATCTTCCCTAGATGGTGGGTGGGTTCTCCAGTGAGTTTTCTTAGCAGGCTCCCATTTTAATTTAGGTTATATTTTTTTTGAGGGGGATGGGCAGGGCACACTCAGTGGTGCTCAGGGCTTACGCCTAGCTTTGTGGTCACGTATCACTCCTGGTGGGCTTGGGGAACCATATATATATGGGGTGCTAGGGATCAAGCCTGGTTCAGCTGTGTACAAGGCAAGTACCGTATCCACTGTACTATCTCTCTGGCCCCTGTATTTAATTTAGTTTTGATACTGTTTTGTTACCATGAAAAGGCTCTCAGATTGCTTCCTTTTTGTCCCATCATGGACCTATCTATACACAAATACTTTAAATTTTAAAACATTTCAACCCACATTAAGAAATACATTTTATATTGTGATGAGTTTTACACACACAGGCATGTACATCCATGCAAGCATATTCAACACATATATATAATTTTACTTATATAATTAGAATTATATAATTAAATGTATTTTAAAATATTCATAGAACTATGAAACTATTTTTGCACCACATCTAGCAGTGCTCAGGATTTACTCCTAGGTCTTCATTCAGGGACCACTTCTAGAGGGGTTCAGGGGACTATATAAGGTACTTAGGATAAAACCCATGCCAGCAGTGTGGAAGGCAAGTGCCCTACCACTGTACTATCTACCCAGTACCTATGAAAATATTTTAATGTTACCTATTTTACTTTGGGCCAGAGTGATAGCAAAGCGAATAGGGCATTTGCCTTGCATGCGGCCGACCGGGGTTCGATTCCTCTGCCCCTCTCAGAGAGCCTGGCAAGCTACCAAGAGTATTCCGCCTGCACAGCAAAGCCTGGCAAGCTACCCATGATGTATTCGATATGCCAAACACAGTAACAACAAGTCTCACAATGGAGACGTTACTGGTGCCCGCTCGAGCAAATCCATGAACAATGGGAGGACAGTGCTACAGTGCTATTTTACTTTATTAAAAACTTTATATGCATGCACAAAATTAATTTCCTTAGGTTTTGTTGTTCAGTAGTTTATGGTTCAGAACAAAAGAGGGCAATTTTTTGATTGCTAAATAAAGTGTCTGGAGTAGAAGTATTCAATTTGAAAGATAAGAACCAATTGTGTTTAGAAATGTTTTAGTAGCACTATTTTATTTTATTTTGTGGTAAATAAAAACTTTTAGGGCTGGAGCGATAGCACAGTGGTAGGGCGTTTGTCTTGCACGCAGCCAACATGGTCGACCTGAGTTCGATTCCTCCGCCCCTCTCGGAGAGCCCAGCAAGCTACCGAGAGTATCTCGCCTGCACAGCAGAGCCTGGCAAGCCACCCGTGACGTATTCGATATGCCAAACACAGTAACAACAAAGTCTCCAATGGAGACGTTACTGGGCCCGCTCGAGCAAATCAATGATCAACGGGAGGACAGTGACCAAAAACTTTTATATACTTCTTATTTTTTCTAGGATGGTTATAGGTTAAGAAAGAATTTCCTAAATGACAATTTTTCTTTTTTCCCTACAGTTCTCATGTGTGACTATAAGTCTAGTACATCATTACCCTAAGGATATCACCATTTAGAAGTTTTCAACATCAGCTTAGTTTGTCCTTTTTCATCTGATTCTTAAACAGAGGACACATCTTTCTTTCAAGTTACTTTTGTGGCCAAATTAAGCAAATGGCTGGAAGTAATTATGGCAAAAAATTTATGAAATGCCCCAACTGTTCCTCTTCTCAGAAAGATGAACCTTCTGTATGTACCTGTAAATTAGTTCAGCCTCTAGTTTCAGACACGGAAATATCAGAGTCATCAAGCATTAGTAGTGTAGAATTAACAGGCCAAAAAGAGAAAAAAAAAGGAAAAAAACATTTTAAAGAGAATACTTCTGCAACAGATTTGGTAAGTACCAAAATTTTTCTTGCTCAGTACAGGTTGATATTCCATTCCCCAAACTCATTCTAAGTTTCACCCTTGCCCTTGAGTTCTTGTCAGCTAGTTTATTGCCTCTTGACAATAAAAGGAATATTCCTTTCCCGTGTAAGAATTTATCAAAACTACTATTAATGTTTAAATAATATTTCAGAAATGACCAAATTGGTTTCCTAGGTCATAAATGCATCACAATATTATTCCAGCTTCATTTAAAAAATGGATTATCTCATGATGTTTCATTAAAAAACTTTTAAAAATGGATTATGCATAAATTAATTACTTTTAAAGTTGAATTAAGTCTGAATTGGGGAGAATTTTCTTCAACTGATAAAGAATGAGATTTATGGTTGTTCTTAAATGTAGGGTGCTTTTTTGTTTAAAAAACTTCCTACTTATCTAGATGAAAAAGCTATGTATTTTGCAAAATCATTCTTCTTCACTTTCAGTCTATGATTAACGAGTTAGACTTGGTTTGGGTAGAATCACCTTTATAGAAAAGAGGCAACATGGGAAATTATAATAGGTAAAACATGATTTGGGGGATTGGGAGCAGTAAATTAGAGTCTCAGCACCCAGTGTTGTACCTTTTTTTTCAAATTTCTCTGAACTCTTCCTTCCATTTTGTGTTATGGTATAATCATTGCTATATAGTAATCTCTGAGTGAGTCATTATTATATTCATTTTCATTCAAAGTACATTTTATGACTGTTCAGCCAGTACTTCTTTCAATTGACAATGTATTCAAGATGATTGCTAGGTTGTGTGTTTTTTTAAAAGTTTATTGAGAAAGCATGAAGTTGACTTTTTTGTGATAAAAAATATAGCAGGTAAGTTCTGATATACTGGGTTATTTTATAGACTTGTCTAGAAATAAAAACTTAGATTTAATTACTTCATAAGGTATCTTTTAGCCCAATGAGCAAATAAATCAATGAAGACTTTGAATTTGAAAAATAGAGTAAATCAGTTTATACACTATTAATCTCATGGCATACTTTAAATATTTGTCAGAATAACTAGAGTATTATTTTATCAATAATTATATTGTCTTAAATTTAATTTTTTTATTTCTTTTTGATTAAAAGGCCTTAAGAATCTCAAACATAGAGAAAAAAATGTCTCAACAGTGGAATCGGGCCAACATTACAGAAGGAAAAGTTCCTCACACAAGGATAGATAATGGAGCTCTTATTGAGGTAGATAGAAAACAAATTGAAGCTATGGGAATTTAAATTTTTTTTCTAAATTAATGGCAAAAATGACTTTTAAAAAAAGTGTCTGTGATGAAGAAGGAAAGACAAAAGTAAACTTATCATTTTCAAAATCTTACATCAAAATCAAAATCTGTACTTGATCATTGTATAACTGAAACCCAAGCACAAAAATTTGTAAGTCTACAACTGTACCTCATGGTGTTTCACTAATAAAAAAAATAATTAAAAAAATCTTTGCTAAAGAAAATGAAGATTAGTTATTTTTTATTTCTAGAGGATTAAATTAGTTTTAATTTACTGAAGAGCATTTTTATTAGATAAAATGAGAATATTTTGTTCTCCATAATCACCTATTGTTAAGGGCAATCAGGGAGCTCTTTGTAGATCTCTTCAAGATGCATAGACCAGAAGACCTGAATGGTTTGTCAATTTCCTTGACAGTGTGTAGTATGGCTAGAATTAATTCCTAAATCTCTCAATTGTTTTTAGCTTATTATTGGATAAACACTGATATTTCTTTCAGCATTTTAATTAATATATAATTACAAGTTAAGTATTACAACCATTTTAGAAATTAAAATGCATTTTAACTATTTAATTAAAGATATTATAAGAATAACTAAAAGAAGAAATTTATTTAATGTTAAATAATTTTTAATGTTTTAAGAGATATTTGGAAAGTTATTTGAAGTAATAAATTTCCTAAGAAATCTGACTTGAAAAATTTAACTGTCTTCCTTTATTAAAAAATACACACAAAAATAAAATAAGATAAAATGTACACAGTTTACTGAGTTTTAATTTAACCATAAGAACTTCCATAAAAACAGACATGTTCATTACCAAAAAAAGTAGGAAAATATAAAAAGAGAAGATAAAATCACGATTCATGTGGGACAGGTTTAAACTTACTTTCTTTATTCTTTTCTTTTTCCATGCAGGTACGTCTTATTAACTTTTTTTTAGTTTTTTCAAATTATGAAGTATTTTAAATATATATATCTATACAGATCTATACACACACACATATATATACATACATACATACATACATACCATGAGAAATAATTTAGGAGCCAGGAACATAGTACAGTGGTTCAGGCACTTGCCTAGCAAGCTGCTAACCCCAGTTGAGCCTCAAGCACCACGTATGGTCCTCCAAGCATCCCTGAGCACAGAGCCAAGGGTAAGCCCTGAAAACCACCAGGTGAAACCCCCCCCCCCAAAAAAAACAAGCAAAAGAAATAACAATATGGTTTAATTGAAGTTTCTGTTTATCCATTAAACTGACTCATTTTTAATAATTCTGAAGGGAAATTACAATTTCATTCCTGCTACATTTTAAAAGGAAGTTATAACTACTCAAAATTCTACTACCTAGCAATAACTCCTCTTAATTTTTAATAGGAACATCTTTCTAGACATTAATGTGAGCATCTCCATCACATTTGTACTTTTTGATAATGTGATCATGTCATGTAGGCATTCATACTGTGCACCATTACTGATTACCATTTTAATAACCTTCTCTTAGAATGATTATAAACAAGAAGTCATTTTCTCCTTTCCTTTCCTATTTATTTATGTTAAAGCAGTTAACTGAAGAGAAATAGTAGTTTATTTAATAAAAGCTAGATGAACAATTGGGTTTTGCTCTACCCATTTTTCATTTTTAAAATTCTACTTTGACAGTATCAAAATAATGTGTCCACATGATGTTCTGTGTAATTAGAGGGAGAAAATGAGAGTTTAATTTTTAAAGAATAAGAAATTTGGAGAAAACATTATAGAATAGAATATTTTTGTGTTGAAAATGAGTAAACAGATTTAGTTCACTTTATGTAACATATAGTTGGGAATTGCCTACAAATAGAATATAAATACAAAACAGGTTGTCTAATTTAGTTATCTTAAGCATATGACTTTGACTTTCACTGTTAAATGATAGCAGAAGGAGAGGAGGAACGGAAGTACCCACGTCTGTGTTTTTGACACTGCGAAGGTATTGTCTAGGAACAGACAATGACCTGGGCGGGATATGTCTGTGCCTGTGTCACTGTCCACTGTCCTCCCATTGTTCATCAATTTGCTCGAGCGGACCCAGTATCGTCTCCATTGGAGACTTTGTTGTTACTGTGTTTGGCATATGCCATTAACAATGTTCAGGACGGCTTCTCCAGGGTACAAATCCACATGCCCAGTCTGTTATTTCTCTTATACATGTATAGACAGCAACATGCGGCAACATGGGAAGATGCCCTAGTCCATGACATCAACAAAGAATACAGACTGTTTCAGTACCTCCATGATTGTGTGAGGAACGCCGAGAGAGAGAAAGCCACAAAAAGACGTCTGTCTTCGGAAACTCTCAAGCTCATTCACCAACGTGGCTTGGGGCCGAGCCTCAGGAACCACAAGCTAACATCCGAGGTCGCAAAGCTGTGCAGAGAAGCGATAAAGGAAGACCTCAAAGAGAGAAGAGCAGCAGTGCTGGCCGATGCGGCAGAAGCCAGGAAAAGTATTCGCAACGCCTGCCTGTCCTTCACCAACTACAAGACCAGGATGAGTGCCTTTCAACATCCTGATGGATCTATCACATCTTCCAGAAGGACAATGGAGAAGATTATTCAAGACTTCTACTCGGATCTCTTTGATAGCCTCGTCCACCTGCCCACATACCAAATTCCGCAGGATAGATATGTCATTCCTAACGTTCTCCCTTCTGAAATTGGACACGCCATTTTGTCAGTAAAGAAGTGAACAGCACCTGGCGCAGATACGGTCAGACCCGAACACTTGAAGAACCTACCATCAGTACTCATCAATACAGTGGCTCGGCTCTTCACATGCTACCTGTCTGAATGCAAGTTTCCATCCCAATAGAAAACCAGCAGGACTGTTCTACTGTACAAGAAGTGAGACATCAACGACATTGGCAACTATCGCCTGATCTGCCTGTTGTCCGTCATCTACAAGCTGTTCACTCAAGTCATCCTGAATAGGATTGGCAGAACACTAAATGAAGGACAATCATGCGAGCAGCTCAGATTCCAAAAAGGATTCAGCACGTTCGACCATATCCACACAGTGACCAAGTTCATTGAGGTTTCTTGGGAGTTCAAGATGCTACTCTGTCTAACATTCATGGATTTAAAGAAGGCCTTTGATTCTGTTGAGACTGAAGCAGTCATCGAAGCCCTAGCCAAACAGGGTGTTCAAACTCAGTACATCAGGATCCTCCATGAGCTGTACTTTGGATTCACCACCAGGATCTCACCATTCTACAAGGAAGTGATCATCAATGCAAAGAGAGGGGTTTGGCAGGGCGATACCATTTCACCACTCTTCAGTGCCACCCTTGAGAACATTATTCAACAAATGGAATGGAAAGCAATGGGAGAGAAGATAGATGGTCAGCATCTGCACGACCTCTGCTCCACTGATGACATTGTTCTAATAAAACCAGACAGCCAAGTGGCATGAATGCTGGCTAACTTTGGCTGTGAGTGTGGAAAGGTCAGACTGCAGCTGGATCTCACGAAGACAGTGTTCATGAAAATGGACTAGTTCCTGATGTTTCATTTGCTCTCAATGGAACGAACATCCCCGAATGCAGGAGTTATGTGTACCTAGCTCGAGAACTCAGCATGATGAATGACCTGGCACTTGAGCTGCGCAGGAGGAAGAGAGCAGCGTGGAACACCTTCAAGAGCATCGAAGAAATAGCTAAGAGGACGAAGAACCTCCGGCTCTGGGCATATCTCTTCGACTCCGCTGTTCTTCCTGCATTAACATATGCCTCAGAGTCGTGGGCCCTACAAAAACAGGATGAGAACCCTATTCGGGTCACCCAAAGAGGAATCGAAAGAGCTATGCTTGGAGTATCATGCTTCACTCAAGTGAGAGAAGAAATCTGGAGTTCTGACCTCTGTCGACGATTGAGAATCAGGAATGCCGTCTCGTTTGCCAAAGCATCGAAAATCAGATGGGCTGGACACGTAATGCGATTTGTAGATGACCACTGGACTAGAGCCGTTACCGACTGGATTCCATGGGACATCAAAAAATCACGTGGCCACCCACATACAAGATGATCAGACTTCATCATCAAGAACCTGAACGATCGGTTTGAGGCTCTCCATGTTCCTGGAGTGAGCAGACGCCATTGTGCTATACTAGCACACAACAGGGAGGAATGGAGACCTTACTGGCGCCTGCTTGAGCAAATCGATGAATATCGGGATATCTAGTGATCAAGTGATGTATAGACAGAGATGGTTTCTGGCTAGCTTATTAACTAGCTTGTTGATTGTATTTATTGAATCATTCTCATGTCAATTTCCTCATTCATTTCACATTTGTATCACTGTTCCTTTGGACTGTCATCCTTACATAGCTTGGGTTATAGGGGAAAATTCTCAAATAATTTTTGCCTTTCTTTCATCACATGCTAATTTCAAAAGCTACCTTTTTAATAATGTTTTTCCGTATACTCCGAGTGCTTTAGCCCTGATTTCTGGTTTCAGTGTCATTTTGCATTTTCTAAATTTAAGACTTTATGGCTTAAGTAATAATCTTGAGTAGATTAAAAATCCTGAGAAAACAGAAATTACGTTTTATTCATCTTTGTAGCTGTCAAAGTATATACCAAAAGGAAGATATAATAAAAGTCTAAATATGTTCAAAGGAATTTTCATTTTTTTCTTCTCTCCCTTCTTTGTTGCCCCACACCCTCCTCCTTATTTCTTCTAATGCACCTACTTAAATATTTTTCCCCGTGTGATTTCAGACCAGACTTTTCAAAAACACATAAAAAGAAGCAGTTGTTGGGCTGGAGAGATAGTCCAGCAGTTAAGGCACTTGTTTTAGACCTGGCTGGCTTGGATCCTATTCTTAGCACCCCAGAGTGTCCCCTAAGCCTGCCAGGAGTAATTCCTGAGTGCACAGCCAGGAGTAACCCCTGAGCATTGACGAGTGTGACCCCAAAAAGAAGCAAAAAAAGAAAGCAGTTGTTTATTTTTTTTAAAAAAAACTCATTTTGGTTATTTTTACTATTTTTATTTCATTGTCATACAATGTAAATTTCTAGTATTGTTAAGTATATAAATATAATAATGTATATTATCATATCATAATATTTTAAGAATTACTAATGGCTATCAGGCACTGACAGGCTAGCATTGTGAATCTATTCTAATGCTAAGTCTCTCCCTAGAATTTTTGTCTATTTATGATGGTGACTCATTAGGTGTTCCAGTTATATCAAATTGTAAATTTCAGGGTAATTTCTCTACCTTTTAAAAAAGTCACTGTGGTTTATAATTTTATAGTATTATTAATGGTAGGGTTTCATGCATATAGCATTTCAACAGCACCCCCCACCCCCACTGGAGTGTTCCATTTCCCTCCACCATTGTCTCAGAATCCCTTCACTCCCCTGACCAACTTCAACATTCCCTTATTCCTGCCACTCCCCTCCATATCTTTACCATGGTCAGTTCAGTTCCATAACCAGTTCTTCAATTCTGTAGTAGAAGCAGTTTCTTTTCAAAAAAATTATTTTATTTTAGGCATCATGATTTATGATATTGATAATGGCAAGGTTTTATGTAAAAAACATTTCAACATCATACCTTTCACCAGTGTCAAGTGTCAGTTTCCCTTTACCATGTTTCACTGTGCCCCTCCCCCATATTATACCCTGATCTCCCTGTACAGTGATATGCTTCCTATTGAAGACCAGTTTCAGTTTCTATTGCCTTTGAGTATTTGTGGTTTTCAACTGTTGTCCCAGACTGATGACAGTCCACAGAAATCCCTGCTGTCCAGCAAAGCATTCTTAATTGTTTAGCACATGGTATGCAAAAATCCTGTAGTGAAGGAGAGCAGGACAATGCTGCCTGCAGGGATGAGTCTAAACAGCAGTGTTGACATTGTTCGCCAGTTTGCAAAATCTTTCTTTATTTTCACCAGTATGTATGTATAAACATGTTGAAATCACTGTTCTAGACAATAAGCCAAATTGCTTTGTAAGCAAGAATGTAATTCTAGTGTTTGAGACCTAATATGTAACATATTTAAGGCTATAGGAAACAAAGAATCATCACTTCAGGGCAGAGAGAATTAGGCAGAGAAGTCCTTCATGCAGGAATTAAGATCTGTAAGATAGATTTTTTAAAGTGCCACTTTAAGCCCAGTGTTGTAACATAACTAAATTTCCCATAGATGGACAAAATCAAGAGTTTTGTTTTGATAGTATATTTATGCTCACAGAAACCTCATAAAATTTTAACAAAACAAAAATACTTTTAATATTAAACAACTTGTTTTCATTCATTCACAGTTTTCCCAGTTTAGGGTCATGGGTTTGTTATCCTGGAAGTTCAGCGTGCAGAGCAGTGCAAAGTAATTTTGGACTAAGAGGCCCTTCCTTTGGAGGGTGTATGCACATATACCCCACACTTATCCCACCAGGACAACTGAGCCATGCCAGTGACTCTAACCCTTTCTTTGGGTATGGAGGAACAGGTGTGTTACTGGAGTAAATCATGTTGACAGTGGGAAAATCGTGCAAGCCCTACATAGGGTGTCCAGACCAAACTCTGGTTAACCATGTATAAGGAAAGCAAGATTCTTAGTCTGGATTAGTGTAGGAATAGTTTTTAATTCTCTTCTTAATGCTGATTTATGTTAAATTCTGTTACATATTTTCTAAAATAATAAGATCAACCAAAGAAATTTTCATTTAAAATAATGATGGAAAAGAGTAATAGCACAACAGATAGGGCATTTGCCTTGCACACAGCAAACCCAGGTTCAGTCCCACGCATCCCCCATATGGTCCCCCAAGCCCACCAGGAGTAGTTCCTGAGTGCAGAGCCAGTAGTAACCCCTGAACATTGCTGGATGTGGCCCCCAAACCAAACCAAAACAAACCCCCCTGAAAATAAAATTAATGTACGTATAATAAAATGCTGAAACAAATATAAAATATTTAGAGTCTTTTATTTTACCCCAGAGCCCAAGATTTCTTTCCTGAGATAGGTGTTTGTCAGTATTGTGTGTTCATCTCATGTTTGGCAGAGAAACATAGAAACTTTTTTTTTTTAAATTCAGGAAATCTATACGTTTGGCAGAACACTGGGGAAAGGGAGCTTTGGACTGGTCATTGAAGCTACAGACAAGGAAAAAGGAACTAAGTGGGCAATTAAAAAAGTGAACAAAGAGAAGGTAAGACGGCGGCAGCCTGGAGGCACTGGGCAGGTTGGGTGAGGTTGGCAGCACAGTTTCATGCTGAGCTCCTGGGCCGGACTTCTTATTTCCTAGCTCCTAGATCTTTGAAACAATTTATAGCAACTTATGTCTAGCTTCCTGGGAAGGGATTAATTCTTGAACTCTTGTAGACCAATGTGGATAATCAAAGAATAGCACGAAGATAACCAATACCACCAAGTACAGGTCAAGGTTTCTAGCACGTGTAGATTGTATGGCTGTAGTGTCTCAGCTAGAAATACGGCCAGGTTCTCTCTCTGCCGATGAATTCTGTACTTTGCTCTTACCCTCGCCTTCTTCTGATTCCTCTGTTTTCCTAGTGTTTATCTATTATCCCTTTCCAGTTTGACAGTTTCCTTCTCACTAGCTACTATTTTCTTTACTTCTGTCTGCTTTTGTCTTCACTTTTTCTCCCAGTCTGGAATGGTCTAGTCTGAATCTCCAAGCTTTACATTAACCATTTCAACTTTTAAAAAATTCTGTGACTAGTTAAAAAAAGAGATGACATGATGGTGCTTTTCCCTTGGATTTATGATAAGTAACACATTTACTTAGTAGTAGGTCTTTGAAACAACTTATTGCAAGATATGTATCTTCCTAAAGTATGCTAAAACTACAAATCTTCATCAAAAGAGAGTGGGAAGATCATCAGCAGGGCCCAGGGCATAATCCAAGCTCTTTGCTCAGAGATCACTCCTACTGGGGCTCAAGGAACTGTAAGGGGATGTGCCCTACCCACATACATCCAGACCCAAAGTTGATTTTTAAAGTCAAAGTACCACAAAGTGATATAATGCATGCTTAAGTGTAAAATAAAATCTTATTGTATATTTTTATCTGTCTAGTTTGATTTATACACACACACACAAACACACATAGAAACCAAAACAAAACAAAAGTAACAACTTTTTCCCCCCTATTTCCATTCTATTCTTTTCTTCATCTTTTTTTGGTTTGGTTTTGGGATCACATCTGGTGATGCATGTAGTTACTTCTGTCTCTGCACTCAGGAGTTACTCCTGGCAGTGCTCGAGGGACCAGATGGGATGCCAGAGATTGAGTTGATCCCATGTAGGGCAGATGACTTACCCACTGTACAATCGCTCTGGTTCATGATTCTTTCTTTTTGATCAAGGTTCTGTGATGTATAATACTGCTAATGATGGTTTTCCATGTACATAATTCTAAAACCAACTTGTATCTCCATTGTACCCCTCTCCCTCACCCAAGGACCGTTTTAAGCTCCTTACCTGCAATCTTAGTTGTGTAAACCAGTTCATTTCTGTTGTGTTACCTTTAGTTTTTTGTTACTACTTTGCTATATGTCTTTAAGTCTTTCCTTCTGACTGATTTCACTTGGCATGATTTTCTCTTGTTCTATTCATGTTGGTGCAAATTGTGTCTCCTCCCACCCCCACTTTGAGCTTTATAGTATTCAATTGTGTAAATATGCCACAACTTCCTGTTCCATTTAACTGTAGTTGGGCATTTGGGTTGTCTCTGTATCTTGGATATTTTAAATGCTATGATGAACAAACATGTGCATATATATCCTTTTGAATGAGTGCTTTTGTGTTTTAGGGAGAGATGTCAAGAAGTGGTATTGGTGGCTCTTATGGGAGTTCTATTCCTGTTTTTTTTTTTGGAAAGATCTCCATAGTTCTTTTCAAGAGGCTGAACCATATGACACTCCCACATGGACAAGGTTCTTTTTTCACCACAATCCCACCAATACTGTTTTCAAACAGTGCAGATTCTCACTGGCATGAGATGATATCTCAGTGTTGTTTGCTTTGAGTTACATTTCCCTATCATGAGTGACTATGAGAACTTTTCTATATGCCTACTGGCCATCTGTATGTCTTCCTTAGGAAAGTGTCTGTTCATCTTTTCACCCCATTTGTGGAAGGGATTTTTGGATTTTTGTTGTTGAGTTTTATGAGTGCTTTATAGATCTTGGGTATCAACCCTTTATCTGATGTATTGTGTGCAAATATTTTCTCTCATTCAGTTGGATGTCTTTATTGTAGCTTGAGTTTCTTTCGCTACTACCTTAGTGTATTGGATTTTTTTTACATTTTTTCTTTTATTTTGCTTATTATTTTCAAGATGCTTTGGGTTTTTAAATTTTTTTAGTGGAGTCTTTAGGGTTTTCAATGTATAGTAGTATCATGTTGTCTGCAAATAGTAGTAGTTTAACTTAAAAGTAAATTAAAGACCTTGAGATTACACCAAAATCTATAAAATACATTGAGGAAAATGCTTGTAGAACTCGCCAGGAAACTGACCACAGAGGAGTCTTCAATGAGATCATCACAGAAGCAAAAATAAAAAAAAACCAACAAGAATAAATAAATGTGACTATGTAAAATTAAAAAGCTTCTGCACAGCAAAAGAATCTCAGTAATTTCCCCTATCCTCTCTTAAATTTTTTTCTTGCTCTCTTTTTTTCTTGCTTTTTTTCCCCTGTATATTTGAGTGCACCAATTTCCTTTTCCGCTTTATCCACACTGCTTTTAAGGCTTATTATTGCATTCTTAAGTTCTGTTACTTCTATTTGGACAATTTCTTTCAGTTTTTCCCACCAACCTCTCCAAGTTTATTGATTCTCTGCTCAAATGTTGTTTTACAGATTGTTGATCATTGATATGATTGTTGTTCAAAAGGCTTCTTCAGGCAGATGACAGAGGTCCAGTGTCACTGTTGATCGCACTGGGCTTTTGTTGGCTTCTGTTATCATCTTTGTTATTTTGTTTCCCCATTGTCTTAGAGGCTCCCACCCTTTAGTGTTTGGGGTGTTTGTTTTTTGTTGTTGTTGTTGTTTTAAGTATAGTTGTCATGTGGCTAATTGTGTGTGCAGTTTTAGCTTTTGGGAATAACTAGCCGCACACAAAGTCTGACTGGGGTTAGGATAGGTGGACCAACCTGCAGATACCTAGGAAAGATGTCTCGATGAATTTTATCATCGAGATACCAGGAGCCGCACTGGAGCTCCAAGAACTCCTGAGCTGCGATGTGCAGCCTCAAACATTTTGCTTTTTTAAAAATCTCCCTTGGTTGATATCCCTGGAAGTAGATTTTGTTTTTATTATGCTAAAATTAAAGCATCATCAAGATTTTTAAGGAAATATAAGTAAATATACTACATTTTTAATAATGTTTGAAGGGCCAGAAAAATAGTCGAAGAAATAAGTGTGACTTTTATGTAACTAAAAATTGGACAAAGGTGGCTGGAGATGTAACATAGCAGTAGAGCAATTGCCTTCTTATCTTATATGTGTGAGATCTTAGGTGATCCCCACTACTTAAGAAAATTGGACAAAGGAAAAATATGCATAATAAAATCTTACAAAAATAACTTACATGTTAGTTTTCAAAGTTATTTATATTTTAATATAATACTCTTGGTAGCTTGCCGGAGAGCCCGGCAAGCTACCGAGAGTATTCGATATGCCAGACACAGTAACAACAAAGTCTCCAATGGAGACGTTACTGGGCCCGCTCGAGCAAATCGACGATCAACGGGAGGTCCTTTACCTTTTATATTTTAAAAAATAGAATCAATATAATTGTTTTCCATATGCTGTAATGCTACACCTTGCCCACAATCAGATTATGCTGTACCTTTACATTTATCCCAAGATTCCTTCCTGTGCTACCACTGACCAACCCTAGGACCTTTATATCACAGTCCTGTGGACCACATCTCAGGATTTTTTCTACTCGGAATTGATTCCTTGCTTTTCCCCCTTATATCCTGCAAATCAGAGATTGTCTGTTTCTTTCTGACACACTTCATTTGCATCACTTTAATTCCATCCAAGTTGCAGCAAACTGCATGATTTCATCTTTTACCTGAGTTGAGTAGTATTCCTTTGTACATATGTATCCATTAATCTGTTTTTGGTCACTTAAGTTAGAGCTTTGCAATTGTAAGTAATGTTACAGTGAACATGCTGTTACAGTGCATTGCTGGAGCCTTGCTGTGCATTGCTGGAGCAATAGCACAGCGGTAGGGCATTTGTCTTGCGCTGCCAGCCGGCCGAGGTTCGATTCCTCCGCCCTTCTCGGAGAGCCCGGCAAGCTACAGAGAGTATCTCGCCTGCACGTAACAACATGTCTCATGATGGAGACGTTACTGGGCCTGCTCGAGCAAATCGATGAACAACGGGAGGACCGTGACTGTGACCGTTACAGTGAACATAGTGTATATGTTCTTTTGGATTCATGTTTTTGGAGTAGATGTTCAAGAGTGGATTACAGGGTCAAAGGAAGGCTCTGTTCTTGATTTTTGATAAATCTCCAAGCCATTTTTCAAACAGGCTGAACCAAGGAACAATCCTACCAGCAATTGGTGAGTTTCTTTTTTGCCATATTCTTGCCAGGATTTATTGTTCCTAGACTTTCTGATGCAGACCATTGTCTCTGCTGTGAGGTGATACCTCATTGTCCCTTTTTTGTTGTTGTTTTTGGAGCCCTACCTAGTGATGCTCAGGGCTTACTCATGACTCTGTGCTTAGGGATCACTCCTGGCAGAGTTTTAGTGTGGGGGACTATATGGAGTGTGATAGATCAAACACAGGTTGGCTATGTTCAAGACAAGCACCCTGCTCTCTGTACACTCTCTCTGGCCCCTGTATTCTCATTTTAACTTCCATATCCCTGATAATCAGTGATAGTAAACATTATTTTACACTCCTGTTGATCATCTTTAAGTCATCTTTGAGGAACTGTCTGTTCATCGACTCCCTATTTTGTGATGGGGTAAATTTTTGTTGCTATTGTTGAACTTTGAGAGTGTTTTATGGTTCTTTTTCTGATGAATGTTGTATGAATTTTTTTCCCTAATAAGTTGGGTGTTATTTTACTTAAGGGCCATTTCTCTCACTGGAAAAATTTTTTATTTTGTGTTGTCCCATAGTTTATTTCACCTTTTTAAAGGAGCTTATCAATGAAGACTGCTCTGAGGCCTAGATCTTGTAGAGTTCATCCTGTATTTTCAATGTATTCTAGAAATAGATTTGAAATGAACTTTGTGAATGGTGTAAGCATTATAATCTGATAGACTACTTGATATAATTTCCATTTTTTTTATTTTATGGAGTCTTGTTCTGTGTCTCAGCATCTAGTATATTCTTGAGAATGACCCATGAGCACTGAAGAAGAGAGTATATTCAACTTTTTTTTTTTTGGCTGGGGGGTGATGAATCCATTCAATGGTGAAAATGTGATATTTTCAGTAGTCTCCTACTACTGTTGTGTTACTATTGATATTTTACTTCAGACCAGCAAGTTTTTTTTCTACATATTTTAAGGATCCTGCATTTGGTGCATATATGTTAATAAGTATTAAGTCTTTTGATGTATACATCCTTTGATCATTATAAATGTCCATGTCTGTGAGTTTCAAAGAAAAAGGCGCAGGCACACGAGGGACTCCAACAATCGGTAGCTGAGAACCACCTCCCCAGGCCGGTCCACGGGCGACAGCAGCAATGGATGGACAAAGAATGGGGGAACGGAGACACTGGAACTAGGTCCCAGGCTAGTCAGCAGTTTATTTTTCTCTCCTCCCCAGCGTCATCCTATCTCTCCCCTTATGGCACAGTCGTAGTTGTAGTTTTGGTTGTAGTCCCAGTCATCATAGTTCCATCATCGTAGTCCCCTAGTAGACCTCAAAGACCTCTACTTCGTTGTACCTTCTTCCTCATCTCGTTTTAGTCTCATAGTCTCCTCATAGTCCTCATATTCTTGTCCTCAAAGTTCCAAAGTCTCTGTTCTCCTCCTCTACTTCTCAACGTCTAGTCCCAACTTTCTAGTACCCTCTTACCCCTTACAGCATAGTTATATAGAAATCATGAAGGGTGGGTATATACAAAGGCGGGGTTGAACATTATCATAACAACAAGCGGAGGTAAAGCCACTCCTGCAGGAGATTTACTCAGGGACAAAATCTCATCTGAGGAGTCAGCACTCCAGATTACTAGGAGATCCACTCAAGGGCCGGATTTTATCCAGGGTGTATGCTTTATCCTTTCCTCAGCTGGTAATCCATTTAAGCAATCATAATAATTTTACTTCTTATAATATTTCTAGTCATTTTGTGTGAACACACTAAGGAATATATTAAGCTTAAAGGTTGGCTCTTCCTGGGGACATCTCACTGTATATTCAGACCACAGTCTTCAGGCCAGGTTAGTCTTTCCTAACCCCAGTAGGGGTTATTTCTTACTTCTTACTTATTCAGTTATTTCTTTTTGGGTCATGACAAAATTTGTCCACGATTATACTCTCAACTTATAGTTAAGTATTATGGCACTTGACCTGGCCCATTTCAATGCCAGGGTAGATCATAACTTGCCCTGGGTCCATCCAGTTCCTCATATGGACCCTGCTCTTAGAGTGATAGGAACTAAGGCAACTGAATCTTACAGTCAAGTAAATATGGATGCCCAGGACTAAATATTGTTTTGGAGTCAATTTACTCCCATGTTACAAAGCATAGCATCAACTGTCTTCCTGTGTCTATACAAAAAGAACATTGCTAAATAAACCATGGAAATGACATAAAGGAAAGAGAAAAGCAATATAAGGTTATTAGTGCTTGATGGAACTGGGTGTGCCTCGAAGGTACTCTTGTGGGTGTAGCTCAATAAACCTTAAGCTCCCTGAGGAGGAGCAAGGACAACCCAATGTTATCCAACACATGTCTACTGTTTTTAGACTAAAGTTGATTTTTATTCTGAAATAATACTAGCTTTTCCTACTCCCACCCTTTTTTCCCCTTGTTTTAGCTTACTATTTGCCTGTACAATTGTCTTTGTCTTTTATACTGAATCTGTGCTCATTGTGACAATTCAGGTGTGTCTTATGTCATTGGGAGGAGTTGGTTTTGTTTTTCTGATTCTTCCAGCCACTCTGTACTTTTTGTTTGGTGCGGTTATTGACATTTAACAGTTATTGAAATAATATAATTTAATACCACCTTTTTATATGGATTTATTTTTTAATTAGACTTTGTTTGATTCACCTGTAATATGAGACCATTTAGTGCTTTTTTCCAATGCTCATTTAGTGACCAAGAATTTTTTTTTTAGGTGTTGTCAGTGAGATTTTGTATTATACCATTTAACTAGAATATTAACCTTACTGGTAAGATATTTGTGTTTGTATGCTTATTTTCGGTCACGGTCACTGTCATCCCATTATTCATCAATTTGCTCGAGTGGGCCCAGTAACGTCTCCATCCTGAGACTTGTTGTTACCATGTTTGGCATATCGAATACATCACGGGGAACTTGCCAGGCTTTGCCGTGCGGGTGAGATACTCTCGGTAGCTTGCCGGGCTCTCTGAGAGGGGCGGAGGAATCGAACCCGGCTCTGCCAAGCCGGTCGCACACAAGGCAAACGCCCTACCACTGTGCTATTGCTCCAGCCCATGCTTATTTTATTACTGAATAAATATATCATAGATATATCATGCCATTTCCTTTTTACCTTCTGGGTTTCATTCAAAAGATCTGTGAATTTTATGGAGGCTCCATTATGCTTAATTTTTGGGTTTTCTCTGACTACCCTTAATATAGTTTTCTTTGGCTCTTGTCATTTTAATTGCTATGTGTCTTGGAGTATTTCTGTTTTGGTTTATTTTATTTTCTATTCCCTGAGCTTCCTGAGTTTTGCCATCTAAGTTGATACTCAAATTGGTCAAGTTTTCTACTATAATCGGTGTTGCCATAACTTCTTTCCCTATCTCTTTCTTTTCTTGGGGCCCCTGAACCCAGAAGCTATTTCTCTGTAGACTGTTCCATTGTTCTATGATATTTTCTTAACTTCTATTTGTTCCTTTTTGTTCATTTCAAAAAGTTTTGCATTTTTCCTTCTATTTCACTGATGTGTTCCTTTGCTTTTATCACTCCACTCATTTTCTTTATTGTATTCTTTTATTCTATGTTCTTCAGATTGGCAATATCTATTTAGAGTATCCTCATAGATTTTCCCTTGTTGAAATTCTCCTTTATTGTTTCCTTCAACAGTTATCTTAATCACTGTGATTTTGAAATCCTCATTCATGAGATTAAAGAGAACGCTCTGCTTGGGGTTGTTATTGTCCTTTAATATAGGTGGGTTCCTCCACTATTTTATTATGTCTGAGGCCACAGCTCCCTCAAAAGGTGGAGAAGAACTTGGCAGAAGTCCTAGGTGGGGCTTCAGACAGATTCTGGGGAGATTCTGAGGAGTCCAAGCATGGGTCCTCACCTTGGAAGGGGTAGAAGGTGGTGGACATTAGGAGAGGCAAGGTAGCACACATGGAGACTAACAAACTGGGGCCGTGTGTGTGTGTGTGTGTGTGTGTGTGTGTGTGTGTGTGTGTGTGTGCTGGGGGTGGGGAGGATTCCAGGCTTCTGGAGACTCCAGACAAAGGTTCTTGATAATCTTTGATATGGAAACTTCTCAAGAAAATGTTGAGAAAAATACAAAGTAATTGACTTTTAAATTGAGCTTTGTAATAGTAACATTCATATGTAGAGCTATATTTCCTCATTATTTAAGGCTGGAAGTGGTGCTGTGAAGTTACTTGAACGAGAGGTGAACATCCTAAAAAGTGTGAAACATGCACACATCATACATTTGGAACAAGTGTTTGAGACTTCTAAGGTAAGGCTTTATTTTGTGCTGCATTTTGAAATTTGTCTACAAAATGAATCTCATCCCCTGGGTTGGTTTTGTCCTTGGCCTGGTCTAACACTGAAATTTGGTGAGAGCATTCCACAGGATTTTGTTGTTATTATGTAGGTGGGTATCAGATGATTAGATATGTATTTTTTGTTATATTTCTGTTTTTTTTGGTTATATTTCTGAATGGCATGTTGAAAAAAGTTTAAAATTAAAACTTCATACACAGCTAAACAGTGACTAGAACTTTCTTAGAAGTGACTTTTCTATTGTTTTGGTTCTTGCTTTTCCCATTAGAATCTCTGGAAATGTCATAAGTTTGCAAGGTTAGCTTCATGATAAAGTTGACGTGGGTGTATTTAAAATTATGTAGAAGATATTTTGTTTCTGTACCTATACTATTACGATTATTCTCCCATCTTCCCTGGATGTTTTCCATTCCTCTCTCTAAATGCCTATCATTTTCATTTAGAAGCTTGGGGTATTTGCCCTTTGGTCCCTAGATTATTTACTGCTTAAGGGTTTGGATGTTTTTCTACTTAAAGGCAGTGTAGTAAAGTGACACTTGGGGATTTTAAGGTCAGATTGTCTGTATATTTGAATTTTGCCTTTGTTACTATAAGACCATTAACAGATTACATAATAACTCTTTCTAACTTTCCTCATCTATAAAGGTCACGGTCACGGTCCTCCCATTGTTCACCGATTTGCTCGAGCGGGCCCAGTAACGTCTCCATCATGAGACTTGTTGTTACTTACTGTGTTTGGCATATCGAATACGTCACGGGTAGCTTGCCAGGCTCTGCTGTGCGGGCAAGATACTCTCGGTAACTTGCCGGGCTCTCCGAGAGGGGTGGAGGAATCGAACTTGGGTCGGCCATGTTGGCCGCTTGTAAGGCAAATGCCCTACCGCTGTGCTATCGCTCCAACCCAATATATGTCCTCATCTATAAAATGGGTCTAATAATATTGACCTTGATAGTTAAAGGATTAAATAAGAAAGTGTATATAAAGCTTCTTTTTCATTGTTAGCAACTGTTCATAATTTCTCTTGTCAGTCTCTAAAGCACTGTCATTTTAGGTGATTACATTGTGTTTAATTCATTAAGAGCGCTTAGTAGCTTAATAACGATTAAAGACTACAGTTATCCTACAGGAATAAAGACTACAGTTATCCTGTAAGAAAATAATTTTGGGCAATGATACCAAAAGTCTCTTCTATTCTTTCTAGTTTTAGAATTGTGGTTTGTTTACCCCTAATTATCTTTGTTTTACTCTTTATTATCAGTTTCAATTAATTGGTTATGTTCTGTCTTTGTGTCATTTTCTTAAAGGTAAAGAGACTTGTGAAATAAAAAAAAACCGAATAGATAATAATAAGAACAAAAAATGTCTGGATATTAAAACTTTCAGGAGAGAAATAGAAGGCAGTAAAGAACAACTAGCAGAAGTGATAGTAGTATAGAACCTGCTGTTATTAAAAGGGAGACTTGTACTGCCTCTTGTGGTGGGATTCATTAAGTCTCTTAAATCTGTGAGTTTGTTATATTTACCAAATTTACCTAAATTTGGTTTTTATTAAGTTTTCCTTTGCGTTGTCTCACTTTGAGTACTCTAAGGACACATCTTAGGTTGTTTGATATAACTCACAGTATACTGATCTTCTGTTCATTTATTCAATATTGTTCTCATCTTATTTCACTAAGCACAGTTTTTGTTTCAGTGTCTTCAAAGTTAGTAAAAGGTAAAGGTAAAGGCCCTCCCGTTGTTCATCGATTTGCTCGAGCGGGCCCAGTAACGTCTCCCTTGGAGATTTTGTTGTTACTGTGTTTGGCATATCGAATACATCACGGGTGGCTTGCCAGGCTCTGCCGTGTGGGTGAGATACTCTTAGTAGCTTGCCAGGCTCTCCGAGAGGGGCGGAGGACTCGAACTCGGGTCGGCCATGTTGGCTGCATGCAAGGCAAACACCCTACCACTGTGCTAGTAATCTTTAAAAAAAAACTGTTTTTTGTTTTGTGGTGATACCCAGTGATGTTCAGGAGTTACTCCTGGCTCTGCACCAAGGAATAACTCAGAGGTTTGGAGGACAATATGGGATACTGGGTTGGCTTCATGCAACGCAAGCTCCCTACTCATTGTGCTATCGCTCTGGCCCCAATCTTGTTTATTTTTTGTATCATGGGCTGGAGCGATAGCACAGCGGGTAGGGCGTTTGCCTTGCAAGCTGCTGGCCCACCGAGCCAGGTTTGATTTCTCCGCCCCTCTTGGAGAGAGAGCCTGCAAGCTATCGAGTATCTTGCCCACACGGCAAAGCCTGGCAAACTACCCATGATGTATTCGATATGCCAAACATAGTAACGTCACAATAGAGACGTTACTGGGCCCGCTCGAGCAAATCGATGAACAACGTGAGGACAATGCTACAGTGCTACCATGTGCTGTTTATTTCCTCCAGTGGAAATTTGATATGGGTCTTTTAAAAAATCTTTCCTGTTTAAACATGTCCAATACTTCCTCCTTAAATATAATAATAAGAATTTTAATTTTTTTCTATTCTATTATCTATGTTATTTCTTGATTGGTTTTGTTATTTTTTTCTCCCGGGTGCACGCGGCTGCAAATGTGGCCACGCGACATCTTATTATCTCATTCTTACTTTGGACAACCTGGCAGGCTACCAAATGTAACCTGCCCACACAGCAGAGTCTGGCAAACTCCCCGTGGCATACCCAATATGCCAAATACCAGTAACAATGATGGGTCTCATTCTCCTAAATCTGAAAGAGCCTTGAATATGGCACTTTTCAAAATCTCAGGGCTAGGATGAAGGAGACGTTACTGGTGCCTGCTCGAGGCAATCGACGAACAACAGGATGATCATGATCATAATTTTTTTCTGTGTGTTTGGTATTTTTTGCTTCTGTTAAATTTTAATTGAATGTTGAATACTTCATCTTTATAACTTTTCTTGAACTTTATTCCAGGAAAGTTAAGTTATTTAGACATAGTTTGGAACTTTTGAAGCTTGTGTTAAGCATTGTTAGGTGGCACTAGAGAAGCCTTTGGCCTAGGGATAAATTTTTTTAATAATCTGATAAGAGTCTTGTATGGATCCAGTGCCCATAACTATAAGATTTTCCACTCAGGCTAATAGGAATACAAACTCTTCCTTGGCCATGCAACCCTGACTGTGTAAGCTTCAGTGAGTGTTCCTCTATTTTTGCATGCATACCCCAATTCCCATCCCCAGCTTCAGTTCATTTCCTTAAACACGTGTACTAATAATGCACTCTGCAGAAGACTTAAGGAGGACCCTCTACAAAACTTCAGTTTTTCTGTGTGTAGTTTTCTCATCAACTGTCCTTGAACTTTAATTGTCAGCCTTCTTGGACTACTCAGCTTCATCTCCTCAAGTAAGAGATTTCTGGGCTTGCTCAAATGGCCTAGAAATTCTCCAGACAATAATCCAGGATTACTCTGGGGTCTATCTCATATCTTTCCTATTTCTCTTGGATTACTGTTGTATGTTGTCTGTTATATGAAAATTATTGTTCTATATGTTTTGTTCATATCAGGGGGCTCTCAAGTAGTGCCTAAAGCACTGCAGTACATTCCCAGTGATACTCAGTCTGCCTGTGTGAACCTAACAGTTCAGTGCTCAGATCTGAGGGATATAGTACCACTTGTGCTCAATGGTGCTGGGGCCACCTGGCTTATACCCAGTGGTGCTGGCTAGGAGGGTCATGCAGTGCCAGGAATTGAACTCAGGGTCTGGTTTATATCATGCATGCACTTTAGCCCTTTGAGCTTTCACTCCAACTATTTCTTAAGTTTTAGGAGGAAGGGTAAGTCCGGTCTTGCCATTACTTATCTGGACACAAGTTGGAGTGGAGGCTATGGAATAGTTTTGAGAACAAAGGGAACTATCATCTGTGATTGTCTTTTAATGTATTGCTTGCCATTGAATCACATAGATCAGACATTCCTTCCCTCTTTCCCCCATCTCACATAAATGCTACTTAAACTTTCCACTGAAACTGTCTTAAAAATTAATAGAAGAGGGCTGGAGTGATAGTATAGCAGGTAGTGCATTTGCCTTGCACTTGGCTCACCGGCGTTCGATCCCCAGCTTCTCATATAGTCCACCGAGCACTGTCATGAGTAATTCCTGAGTGCAGAGCCAGGAGTAACCCTTGTGCATTGCCGGGTACGACACAAAAAAGCCAAAAAGAAAAAAAAATTAATGGAAGTTACTTAGGTCATAGCACAGCTACTGAGCAGTCTTTGTTACAAGTTGTCCGTTCAAATGTTGTCCATATATACAAAATTATTTTTTAATTATAAACATACTTTTAATAAAAGACCCTCCCGTTGTTCATCGATTTGCTCGAGCGGGCCCAGTAACGTCTCCATTGGAGACTTTGTTGTTACTGTGTTTGGCGTATCGAATACTTCATGGGGAGCTTGCCAGGCTCTGCCTTGTGGGCGAGATACTCTCGGTAGCTTGCCAGGCTCTCCGAGAGGGGCAGAGGAATCGAACTCGGGTCAGCCATGTTGGCCGCATGCAAGGCAAATGCCCTACCGCTGTGCTATCGCTCCAGCCCATACTTTTAATAATTTGTATTAATATAAGTTTTTTTAGTTTACATATTTAAAATTAGTCATTTAAGTTGTTAACTTTGCTTTTCCAACTGTTCTTCTCTATAGTTCATCATTCAGTGATCCCTATAGTGTTGTCAGTGGGGAAAAGTCTGACCTAATTCAATAGCTTATTTTTGTGTCAGACTTTGCAGAATTATTTAATTTTGAAATTCTAAAGCATGTTGAGGTTTAGTGAACCAGAGTTTTGACTACAGAAAAAAAGGACAGTCACCTTCTCTTTCTGTTTTTCATGCTTGCAAATTGAACAAATATTTGCATTTCAGTTGACTGTGAGTCTTATTTTTGACAGAAGGTTCAGCGGGAGGGTCTTATTGGGA